ATTCAGTTGGACTTCCCAGTGATGTGTGTCACCCTTCTCTTTATTTCATTCCCACTGTCCCTAGGTTAGTCTGGTCTTCATCAAAGTAGAATATTAAAAAAGTATGGTATCTAATATTTATTCAAAGCTTTATACCAAATGTCTTAAGCGCTTCTAATGGATCAAAAACTATTATAATCTTCATAAGTCTTATGTTATTGGCCTCTATATCACAGAGAACCCTCCCTTTTGAATTTTTTTAAAATATTTTATTTATTTATCTTTAGAGGGGAAGGGAAGGGGAGGGGGAGAGAAACATCAATGTATAGTTGCCTTTCATGCATCCCCTGCTGGGAACTGGCCTTCAGGGAACTGATCTGCAACCCAGGCATGTGCCCTGACTGGGAATCAAACCACGATTGTCTGGTTCGCAGGCCCGCACTCAATCCACTGAGCTACACCAGCCAGGGCTGAATTGTTTTTAAGAAAGATATCTGAGCGGGCCTATGGAATTTAGCTCAGTGGGGCCTGTGGAGGGAAAGCCAACTGAGTCTCCTCACCCTAGTGAATTCAAGTTGCAGTGAGCAAATGCCCTTTCCCAGACAGGCCATTGTCAAGATTAGCCTCAAGATTAATGGTGCATTCCTCAGCAGGAAACATAGTCTGGAGGTCACAAAAGGGGACTTTCGCTAAGAAACTTGCCAAAAAACACTTTTGTGTACTAAACTAGGTCTAGAACAGATATAAATCACACACAGGGCGAGTGTGATTTCACATCAACTTGGGCTGAGTTTTATTTATAGTGTCCTCAAGGTTGTTCTCTTGCTAACATTCTTAGCCTTTTTCCCTAACCTTAAAAAGATTTTAAAGTGAAACTCTCCTGTTTACTGCAGAATACTGTTGACACCAGATGTGTAGGTTTTTCCATATCAAGTAATTCTCGAGTTCTCAGTGGACACTGATGGAGTGTCCTACTCCACTTTGATAGTAACTACCCAGAATTAGCACAGACCCGACTGGTTAAGGGCTCAGTCCCACAAAACTGCACCTCCCTCCTACATGCCACTTAAAAATCCCAGGTTGTCTGCCCTGGCTGGTGTGGCTCAGTGGATTGAGCACTGGCCTGCAAACCAAGGGGTCACTGGTTCGACTCCCAGTCAAGGCACAGGCCTGGGTTGTGGGCCAGGTCCCCAGTGCAGGGTGTGTGAGAGGCAACCACACATTGATGTTTCTCTCCCTCTCTTTCTCCCTCCTTCCCCTCTCTCTACAAATAAATTAAATCTATTTTTTTAAAGGAATGTGGGGTTTCTGCATTTTCCAGCTTTGTTAAGAGGCTTATACATTTTTGCTGCATGTAGTGTTGTTCCAACGTTATGAATGAGGAAATGCAAGGAGGCTAAGAAAATGCCCGCAGGTAACTTCGGCTGGTGAGAGGCAGCTGTCCCTGCAGGTAGGAACTGGAGTTCCTAGCGGGTCTGGTCTGTCCCACAGGCTTCTGCTAAATGTCTTCCTTGTGTCGCTCCCCTATACCAAAGCCTTTGGTCGCCTCCTTTGTACCTTGTATGGCTTATAAGCCCTTTGAATTTAGGGTGTGATTGTGATATTTCAGCTTATGGGGTACATTTTTTTTCTTTTTTCGATCCAAGGGAACTCTGTGACTCTAATTGAATTCTAAACCCCTGGAGGGTGAGGGTCACATCTCCAGTCAGTGCCTTGTATGTAGGATGGCCCGGAAGGTTCCCGTTCATGTCACCATTTGTCTCAGAGTGACTATTTTATTTATTTATTTATTATTGTTGTTCAGTTAAGTTGTCCCCATTTCCCTCCCATTACTCTCCCCTGTCCCAGGGTAACTATTAACAATATCCCCTTTCATTTTGAAAAGTATCTTAATAACTTATGTGGCCCCCTATTTACATACAGTAGTTATTCATCAAACACTTGTGGCTTAGTACTGTTCAGGGAATTTAGTATATTCAGTTTTAAAATCATGTGCTTTATTGTTTTTTTTAATCCTCCCCTGAGGCCTTTTTTTCCCCCATTTTTTTTTTAAGATTTTATTTATTTATCTTTAGAGGGGAAGGGAAGGAGAGAGGGAGAGAAACATCAATGTATGGTTGCCTTTCATGCGTCCTTTGCTGGGAACTGGCCTGCAGGGAACTGCCCTGCAACCCAGACATGTGCCCTGACTGGGAATCGAACCGCGATCGCGTGTTCCCAGGCCCGCACTCAATCCACTGTGCTACACCAGCCAGGGCCCCATTGTTTTGTTTTGTTTTTTTAAGGGGGGGCAGGGGAGAGAGAGAAACATTGATGTGAGAGGGAAACACTGGTTGGTTGGCTCCTGTATGCACCCTGACTCTGGGGGTCAAACCCCCAACTTGTGTTACAGGACTAGCTCCAACCAACTGAGCCACAACAGCAAAGGCTTACGTTTTTTAACTGAAAAATACAAGCAAACAAACAGGATCATAATCCATTGTTCAGATAAAGCTGCTGCTGACTCAGACTGTATCAAAAGATACAGATGAAAAAGAAAACCTATATATATAAAAGTCCCTCTCCTTCCTTTAATTCCTTCCCCTCAAGGGTTAGAATCATATATGTGTCTAAATTAAAAGGAATTATAATATAGAAACCATTCTTTTGCTTTTTCCCTGTCTTCGGCTTAGATTTTTCTGTACCAGCACATGTACATTTGCCTATTTTTCACAAGCCCTGGGTATTCCATTTTGTGAATGTCTCATAGTTATTAACTGGCCCAAACAGGATGTTTCTGGTGGTGAATTTTGAGCTGTTATGTAGGTCTGTGGAAACCAAACCCTTTGTGGATGTGGAAATATGTGCCCCTGGTCTTTGAAACTCTTGAATTACATGACTCTTCATTACTTTCTTTGCTTTTTGATACTGAGGAGTAAACTGTGCTTTGTCTTGTTTTTGTATGTAAAATATGATTTTCAAATATCCATAGCTTTTGTTTGGGGTTTGTTTTTTTTTTGTTTTTGTTTTTTTAAGATTTTATTGCCCTGGCTGGCATAGCTCAGTGGATTGAGCCCGGGCCTGAGAATCAGAGGGTGGCCGGTTCAATTTCCAGTCTAGGGCACATGCCCAGGTTGTAGGCCAGGTCCCCAGTGGGGGACACATGAGAAGCAACCACACATATTGATGTTTCTATCCCTCTCTTTCTCCTTCCTTTCCCCTCTCTCTAAAAATAAATGAAATATTTTTTTAAGATTTTATTTATTTATCTGTAGAGTGGAAGGGAAGGAGAGAGGGAGAGAAACATCAATGTATGGTTGCCTCTCATGTGTCCCCTGCTGGGAACTGGCCTGCAACCCAGGCATGGGCCCTGACTGGGAATTGAACTGCAGTTGTTCGGTTCACAGGCCTGCACTCAATCCACTGAGCTACATCAGCCAGGGATGTCCAGGGGTTTTTGTATCAAATAATTTCTCTTTTACCATTATCCCTTAGAATTCTAAGTGGCTTCAGTGGGAAGAGAATAGCTGTTTTAATGATGAAAGGGGCTGCTACAGCCATTATAGCAAAGGATAAACCTGAGTAATACATGGTCAGTACTATTATAAGAAATGTGAACCCATTTATATGGAACTACAAAAGGCCCCACATAGCAACAGTGATCCTGAGAAAGAAGAACAAAGTTGGAGGAATCATACTACCTAATATGAGACTATACTATAAAGTCATATTAATCAAAACAGCATGGTACTAACATAAAAACAGGCACATAGATCAATGGAACAGAATAGGAACCCCATATAATAAGCCCAAATCTTTCTAGCAAATTAATATTTGACAGAAGAAGCAAGCATATACAGTGGGCTAAAGATAGTTTATTCAATAAAAGGTATTGGAAAAATTGGACAGATAAATGCAGAAAAATGAAATTAGACCACCTTCTTATACCACACATAAGAATAAATTGAACATGGATCAAAGATTTACATGTTAGACCCCCAAGCCATAAAAATCCTAGAAGAAAGCAGAGGCAGTAAAATCTTGGACATTGCTCATAGTAATATTTTATAGGATATATCTCCCCAGGCAAGAGAAACAAGAAAAAATAAACAAATAGGAGCACATCAAACTAAAAAGATTTTGCACAGCAAACGAAATCACCAGCAAAATAAAAAGACAACCCACAGAATGAGAGAACGCATTCACCAGTATATCTGAAAAGGGGATAATATCCAAAATTTATAAAGAACTCACAAAACAACACACACACACAAAACCCCAATTAAAAAATGGGCTCAACGTCACTAATCATCAGAAAGATGCACATTAAAACCACAACGAGATACCATCTCACACCCATCAGAATGGCTGTCATCAGTAAATCAACAAACAAGTGCTGGTGAGGATGTGGAGAAAGGGGAACCCTTTTGCACTCTTGGTGGGGATATAGATTGGTGCAGCCACTATGAAAACAGTATGGAGGTACCTCAAAAAATTAAAAAAGGATCTGCCTTTTGACCCAGTGATCCCACTTCGGGGAATATATCCGAAGAAACCCAAAACACTAACTCAAGAGAACATAAGCACCCCTATGTTCATTGCAGCATTATTTACAGTTGCCAAGAGATGGAAGCAGCCCAACTGTCCATCAGTAAATGAGTAAATAAAATAACTATGGGGCATTTATACGATGGAATACTACTCAGCTGAAAAAAAAAGAAAAGATTTACCCTTTGTGACAGCATGGATGGACCTGGAGAACATTATGCTAAGTAAAATAAGCCAGTTAGAAAAAGAAAAATACCATATGATTTCACTCATACGTGGAATCTAATGAAAAAAGTGAACTAACAAGCAAATTAGAGACAGACTTGTAGATGGAGAGCAGGATGACAACTAGGAACGCGTAGGAGGGTGGAGGGATGGAGCAAAAAGAAAACGGACTCGTGGACATGGACAAAAGTGTGGTGAGTGAACCCTAGCAGTCTATGTGATGGCTTCTGACTACAGGTAAGATTGAGTTCTGTAGGGATAGAAAATCTGGCCTCCCGGTGCTTACCACAGGCTGTGTTCTTACACTCCCTGTACAGAAAGAGGAGGCAGAGTAAACCCACCCCACATACACCTCAGCCCAGGCCCTTTGCCTGGTCTGTATTGTGAATGGAGGGGATGTGGGGAGAAAAAAAAGAAAATCTGAACAGGGTGTTTTTATTATGGGACATAAAATTTTAGTGTCTTGCCCTGAGCAGTGTGGCTCAGTTGGTTGGAGCATGTTCCCATTAACCGAAAGGTCGTGAGTTTGATTCCTGGTTGAGGCACATACATACCTAGGTTGTAGGTCAATCCCTGGTCCAGGTAGGTACAGGAAGCAATCAATAGATACTTCTCCTTCACGTCGATGTTTTTCTCTTCCCCTTCCTTTCTCTCTAAAAGCAATGAAAAAAAATGTACTCAGGTGAGGATAAAAAAATTTTTTTAGTGTCTGTCAATAAAGGTTTGTTGGCATGAAAGCCCTGGTTATTTACATTTTGTCTGAGATTGCTTTTATGCTACAATAACAGAGTTGAGTGAGAACTGTGTGGCCCACAGCACCTGAAATAAAGTCAGACCTTGCTTTGCAAGGTTTTCAGCACGCAAGAATTTCAGTTACCACGCTGTCATTAAATAACTTGAGTCCCCTAACAACAGGGCTCAGGTTTCAGGGCTCAGGTTACCCCAGCACAGTAACTGTGAGTACTTGGTTACAGGGTTCCCATGGTTTCCATGTAAGCCGCACATTTGCACGGTGATTGGTCATTGCACACCTGTTAGTTCACCTACAACAAAGCATGTAGGTGTGCTGCCTCCTTGTTTCCTTAAACCTATGTGATAGTGATATATATATATAGTAGTAAGCCTATATGACAGTTTATATCAAATCAGTAGAGGGAATTGGCCAAAAAAAGACTCCAGTGCAGCAAAGAGAAAAAGTGGTAATGCCAGAAGTGAAATTCTGGTGGAGCGTAAGTGGAGTGAGTGATAGAAGAAGTAGCTGATTGTGGGAATGTTGATTCTACGTCCAGTTGAGAGACTGGGTACGCAGACAGAGGAACGTGGTGAGGGCCCACTTAGTGACAGAGATGTGAAAGTGGTTGTGGCAAAAAGGATAATGTCCCAGAGGACATAACACGGCCAAAATCCTCCACAAGAAGTAAAGTAACTCTCAGAGTAATTCTATTACATTGAAAGAGCAAAGGATAAAAGGCTGGAGGCTGATACCAAGCTAGAAAGAAGTATGACAGTTCCCTTGGGCTGGTTGTGAAGATGCTTGCTCCATATCCCAAGTTACACTCTGACTGAAGACCACCTCAACACTGTCCAAAGTATGCATGGCAATTTTTATTTTACAAAGAAATTTAAAGATATTTATGTATGTATTTGTGTATGTATATGTTTGTTTTTAGGCAGAGGGGAAGGGAAGGCGAGAGAAAGAGGGAGAGAAACGATAATGTGTCCCTGCCTCTCATGCACTCCCCACTGGGGACCCGACCTGCAATCCAGGCTCATTCCCTGACCAGGAATCAAACTGCAGACCCCTTGGTTTACAGGCCTGCACTCAGTTCACTGAGCCATACCAGCCAGGGCACAAGTTGCTAATATTTTAATTTAATGTACTAAGCAAATATTTGTTTTACTGTTTTTTTATTCTATACCTTTATAACCCACGGTTTTGTTTCTTTTTAAAGATTTTATTTATTCATTTAGAGATGGTGGAAGGGAGGGAGAAAGAGAGGGTAAGAAACATCAATGTGTGGCTGCCTCTCACACGTCCCCCACTGGGGATCTGGCCTGCAACCCAGGCATGTGCCCTGACCGGGAATCAAACTGGCAACCCCTTGGTTCGAAGCCCACGCTCAATCCACTGAGCTATACCAGCCAGGGCTATAACCCACAATTTTTAATGTTTTAACCAAAATACTTTAAAGGTCTTGCAATGGTCACATTTTTTCCTGATGATTTGCATGATTCCATACTGGCATGCAAAGCAGGTACTGCCTGTTTGTGTTATTTGACCCATCATAAAGTTTACTGACATTTGCTTCAGAGAAAACATGATTTGGAGGAGGAAGGCCGTTTCATGACAGGCTGCAGGCTTGTGAGATGATTGGGCCTTCTTACGAGACTTCTTACGAACAGGGAGCCAAGGTGTTCTTTCGTTTATAACACTCCTGGGAGTAGAAAGCATAGCAAGGGCTACAATCCTAGGAAAATCATTTTCTGTTTGTTTTAAAAGTAAACTGACTCTGAATGAATATGAAAACATGAATAAAAGAACACCAAGTTCAAGGCGGTTGTTAATTGCAAGTGGAATTGAAGTACGGGGTTTAACAGAGTATTTCAGCTCTATCAGTGTTTTAGTCCTTTAAATTGTTAGAATTTGGTAAAGCTGAGAAGCGGACACACAGTGTTAGGATGTTTTCTCCACTTTTCAGAATGTTTGGAATGTTTCATTAAGGTAAACTTTATTTTTTTGAGTCGGCACAGCTGCTGTTGTGTATTTTTGAAGAATAAGTAGACACCATCTTCCTCAGCCTGTGAATTAAAGTAGATTGGTAGTGCCTGGGAGCCTAAAACCAGGCTCACATTTCTGTGATGTCCTTGTTAGGAGATGACAGCAGGTGATTCCAGCCAGCTGCACACAGAGGGAAGTTGTCTGAGCCATTGGCTGGGTGTCCTGGTTAAAGTTGTAGTGATTTTGTGGCCTGAGAAACCTGTTTCCCATGACAGAGACTCACCTGTTTGGCAATTTTGTAATAGCTAATGTTCAAAACACTAGCCTCCCAGGGTTTTATAAATAAATGGTTCATATATCATGTAGTGATTTTTTTTAATGATTTTATTTATTTTCAGAGAGAGGGGAAGGGAGGGAGAAAGAGAGGGAGAGAATCATCAATGTATGAGAGAAACCTCAGCTGATTGCCTCTCACACACCCCCAACCCAGGCATGTGCCCTGACTGGGAATCAAACCAGTGCCCTTCCGGTTCACGGGCCAGCACTCAATCCACTGAGCCACATCAGCTGGGGCTGTACTGTGATTTTTTTAACCATTTCTGATGCTTTTCTAAGGGAATATTACTGTTTCTTGAAGGCAGAAATTCTACTTTAGCATATTCTGAAGCGAATATATACAAATTCAGTTCCCTTCAGCTTTTCCTACTCTGCATTTTAAGAACATACTAAGTTTTTAATTTTGCATTAGCTTTTCTGAACATACAAGTAGAACGTAAGACATCTTTCATGATTATTTCTTAACGCTACTCTAAGACCAGTGTATCATTTTGTCATCTCCAAAATAAGAGAATTACTAAGAAAGAGCTTCTTGAACTGTCCGACCAAATATCCCTGAGCCTCGGCCAGTTTCGTTGCTGTGATGTTGTCACTGACCCTGTCAGAGAGTGAAAACAGGCCTGGCTGAGGGCCTGGCCTTGGTGAGCCCTGAGATTGTGATAAAGGTCTTCAGGAATGTTGTTTTCCCACTGCCTGTGGGTTTTTTCCGTGCAGGGGGTCGTTACATTAGGTCATTACTCTCTAATCGGACCATTGTAGATTGAATGCTCTCCCACGTCTGCTGCTCACTGAGTTTAACCACCCAGCCAGGCCTGAGTCCTGTCTGTAACGCGGGGGTGTTACCGCATGATTCACCATTTTACCGTGACCATTAGAAACAGTGCGCCTGAGGTGCCCGGCGCGATGCTTGGTGCGGGCAGTGCACAGGGCGTCAGGAAATAAGTAACGCGCTGCGTTTTTATTTTGGTCTTCCAAAGTGTAGTACGCTGACTTTTTTTAAGTTCTTTTAAGGAAGGTAAGTCATGGAAGCCATCTTACATACTGAAAGTATTTCTGACCTTTTGTACAAGCTTTTTGGAGAACAGTGAAAGAGAAAATGTGTTGGTGTTGTTAGGGGTGGAAGTCAAGAGTGCATAGCCTGTGTTTACCAAAGGAACACCATCTCCTTGGAAACAAACGAGCAAATAAAAACAAACTTATTCTTCGTGAGTTTACGTCTCTCAAACCTAGACTAAGAAGATTACCTTTTTTCTTTTTTTATTATAGGAATTTTCAAATGTAAGCAACAAAGTAGTGAAAACAGTTTATGGGCCCTTATAGACCATCTTTCAGCTTTCCAGACAGACTGTATTTTTTCTAAGTTTTCTCTTATAATAGAGACATTTCTGAGTTTCCCTGGGACAAAAGTGAAGTCTCTCCATCTCCTACTCAACCCAAGGAACCTGAAAATAGGCTGCTTTTGAACGTAAACTATGAAGAGTGTGTGATAATTGAGAGCAGCTTGTGAGCAGCTGTCTGCAACAGAATGGCCTCCCAGGCCCCAAAGATTTGTAAGGAAGGGATGGGCACATCTGTCAAAAGAATATTCCAGGCTGGAAAGATGCATCCCAGAGGCAGACCCGAGAGAGAGGATGTGCAGAGGAGAGCCCGACAGTAAATGTCTCTTACTTGAATCCAGGGAGATGCTGCGTTTCCACTTGCTCTCCGAGGTGGTGTGCTGGTGAATGGAGACCCACAGCTAATTCCCCTGACAGCTATTTTTTTAGTATCCTCTCATGTGCCTTCCTTGGTAGCAGGGGTCAGCACCCCTGTGTCTCATCAGCTCCAGCGCTAAGTGTGTGTGTCTGTGCCTGTAAGTGAGGGCCACATTCCGGGCAGTGTTGACTGACCTCCCCAGGGAAACGGCCACTCACTCCTGGATAGGCCTTTTTTCCCTCCTCTTTACAAATCCTCAGGCTCCTGTACCTGCACAGAGTGTGTGTCTGGTACCTGCTTATGGAAAGCCACCAAATTTCCACCCTTTCTGCTGTGGTCACCCTGTTGAATTGGTGTCTGTCTGGTCGTTCTTGCCTTGAGCTTTGTTTAGCCGTCTTTTGGGTTTTGTTTTATCTTTCTTACTTTTAAAAAATTTGTATTATTGATTTTAGGAAGAGGGAGAGAGAGGAACATCGATTTTATCGTTCCACTTATTTATGCATTCACTGGTTGATTCTTATATGTGCCCTGACAAGTTATGAACCCCGCAACCTTGGTATCGGGACGATGCTCTCGCCAACTGAGCTACCTGGCCAGGGCTTGGGTTTTGTTTCAAGGTGCAATTCACATACTATATGGTTCACCCATTTAAAGTGTACAGTTCCACCCTTGGGTCTTTGTCCAAAAGTCTGTACCTGCAACTACTTGGAAAACAAGAACACACAGCAGTCAGGGTGCTCTCCCTGCTGTCAGCTTGGCGGGGCCTTGGGCTGTTGCTGCCTCGGCAGGTGGGTGCTCCTGGCTGCGATGTTGGTTTCAGTTTGAGGTCATGAGTGAGTGGATCTGGTGTGAATCCTCACTGTTTTGTCTTGGTAGCAGTGCTGCCACTGACGTTTGACCAGCCATGATTCATATGCCAGAGAGTTCTCCTGCTTTGTTTTCTCTGGGCTGTGTTAATTGGGTATTTTTTTTTAACCTTTGGCACACTGTTGAAAGTACCTGCTCCAAATGCATACCTGGCTAGTTCTGGTTGATGTGTTATAGACAAAAGGTGTCCCTATTTGTTATTTTAAAAAGATTTCACTTATTAATTTTTTCTATTTACTGATTTTTAGAGGGAGGGCGAGAGAGGGAGAAAGGGAGAGAAACATCGATGTAAGAGTTGTATCTTGTACATGCCCAACCTAAGACTGAACCTGCAACCCAGGCATATGCCCTGACCAGGAATGGACCCAGCAAGCGACCTTTCACTTTGTGGGATGATGCACAACCACCTGAGCCCCACCAGTCAGGGACATCCAGGGACAGCCCTATTTTCTTTAAAAGCTGCTTTGTTAGCCCTGGCCTGTGTGGCTCAGTGGATTGACTACCAGCCTGCAAACGAAAGGGCTGTCAGTTTGATTCTCAGTCTGAGCACATGCCTCGGTCGTGGGCCAGGACCCTGATTGGAGGCATGTAGGAGGCAAACAACTGATCAATATTTCTCTCACACATCACTGTTTCTCCCCCTGTCTTTCTTCCTTTCTTCCTCTCTCTCTAAAAATAAAAATCTTAAAAAAAACCCTGCTTTATTAAAGTATTATTTACATACCAAAGATCACTTGTTTTAAGCATAGAATCAGCCCAGCTCTGGCCAGGTGGCTCCATTGGTTGGAACATCATCCTGTGCACCCAGATTTTGCGGGTTTGATCCCAGGTCAGGGCACATACAGAAGGCAACTGGTCCATGTTTTCTCTCACATGTGTGTTTCTCGTTCTCCCTCTCTCTTCCTCTCTAAAATCAATAAACATATTCTCAGGCAAGGATTAAAAATAAATAAATTATGAGTTTAGGTGATTTATGTGGACTTTAAAAGATATTAAGCATACAATCCAGTGATTTTTGTACATTTACAAAGTATACAACCATCCCCACAATACAGTTTTGGAACATTTCCATCATCTCAAAGATCCTTGGGCCCATTTGCAGTGACTTCCCCACCATACCCCCCAGCACCAGGAACCATTACTCCGTATCCCGTCCTGTTGATTTGCCTTTTCTGGGTGTGCTGTATGATGCTCTTCATATCCCATGTCCAGATAAGGTACTTTTTTTTAAAGTACATTTTATTGATTACGCTATTACAGTTGTCCCATATTTTTCCTCTATTCCCCTCCACCCTGCACCCCCCTCCCACCTGCATTCCCCCCTTAGTTCATGTCCACGGGTCATACATGTAAGTTATTTCGGCTTCTCCATTTCCTATACTAGTCTTAACCTCCCCTCATCTTATTCTGTACCTGCCGTTTATGCTTCTTATTCCCTGTACCTTTTCCCCCATCCTCCACCCTCACCCTTATAGTAGGTAGTGAATTCTTTCTGAGGCTTAAAAAAAAAATAGTAAGTTCTCAGTTTATTTATTTTTAAGATTTTATTTATTTTTAGGGTGGGGGAAGGAAGGAGAGACAGAGGGAGAGAAACATCAATGCGTAGTTGCCTTTTGTGTGCCCCTAACTAGGGACCCAGCCCACAACCCAGGCATGTGCCCCATACTGGGAATCGAACTGGGGACCTTTTGGTTCATAGGATGGTGCTCCATCCACTGAGCCACACCAGGCAGGGCATCTTATTTATTTTTTAATTTAGTTATTGATTTTAGAGAGAGGAAGGGACAGGAGAAAGAGCAAAACATCAAGTTGTTGTTCCACTTAATTTGCATATTCATTGGTTGGTTCTGTGTGTGCCCTGAGCAGAGATTGAACCCTCAGCCTTGGCATATTGAGATGCCATTCTAACCAACCGAGCTACCTGGCCAGGGCCTTTCTCAGGTTTTTGTGGAAATTTAAATATGAAATTGTCAGCTGGGACGGAGAATGGATAGGGAAGTCGAAGAGAGTTTCTCACCCTGGCTGGGAGGCTCAAATGATTGGAGTATCATCCTGTACACCAGAGAGTCAGGGGTTTGATCCCCGGTCGGGGTGCGTGGGGGAAGCCACCGGTAGATGTTTCTCACATTGATGTTTCTCTCTCTCTCTCACCCTTCCCCTCTCTCTAAAATTAATAAACATTTTTTAAATTTTTCTGTATTTTTAAAGATTTTATGTATTTATTTTTAGTGAGAGGGAAGAGAGGGAGAGAAACATCATTTGGTGGCTTCTCATACTCCCCCAACCAGGGACCTGACGTGCAACCCAGGCATGTGGCCTGACTGGGAATCAAACTGGAGAACTTCCAGCTCTCCAGCCAGCGTTCAGTCCACTGAGCCACACCAGCCAGGGCTAAACATACATATTTTTTCTGTAAGGGAAATGAAGGGAGGGCGGGAGGAAAAGGAAGGGGAAGGGGGTGGGGAGGTTAGGTTCTTCATGAGGGGCGCTAAGAATGCCAGTGTGCTTCCTTCCTGGCCTCCGATCGCCTGCCCTGGTCTCGCAGTGCCCAGCTCCCCTTGCTATGTGATGGGATGTATAGTCAGAAGGACATTGAAGTCTGTTTTTTGCCTTTGAATGTCATAATTCTGTACTGGATGTGTATATCTTTGACAATGGGGGCAGGGACAAAAATCAACATGCAACTAAAATACAGTTCCATTGGGTGAGTTGATATCTTCGTTGCAGATGATGTGCTTTTTTCTGGTACAAGGAGGGGACCACCAGCACTGTAGACACAGCTCACACAGGCACTGCTCGAGCTGAGGCTCTGGAAGACTGTGGGCCTTCCCCTGCGGGTTTGGGCACGCTCTCTGCTGCCAGGCTTGCCCTGCTGAGCTAACTGGTCTCTGTTTTGTGTTTTAGACTTTTGCCAAGTTCCGAAGGTAGTGGGAAGGTGCCGGGCCTCCTTCCGCAGATGGTGGTACAACGCCACGGATGGGTCCTGTCAGCAGTTCGTGTATGGAGGCTGCGGTGGGAATGACAATAACTACCTGACCAAGGAGGACTGTCTTGAGAAATGTGCTGGTTTCACAGGTTAGACCATGGTAGTTGAGGAAATACTATTAGGGTCAGTTTAGTCACTGGGATGTGGGTGCCTTTTGCTCCTCACTAGTTCTTCACAGCTGAACCTGGGGGTTTAAAAAGCAGAAGAGACGAGCACAACGCGAAGGTCGCCCACACCGTGGTCTCACAGCGAGAGCCGGAGGTGGGGGGGCGTGGCTGCGTCTTCCCACAGCTTCCTGTCTCCCACTACTGAGTGCAAGTCCGGTACCAGACTCGGTGTAGGAGGAGGTGGCTTCCCCTTGAGCAGAGTCCCCCAGGTCCACGCAGGCAGGCTGCCCTACTTGCTCTCTGGGCATTTGGGTTATTCTTACCTCTGGGACAAATGACTTGAGGAGCTCACCCAGCCAGCCAAGTTCTGAGTCAAGTTAAAACTAGAACATAACTGTCTGGAGTCCGTCCTTTTCCCAGGCCTCAACTGCAAGGATTCCATGAAATCAAGATGACATTCATCTTAACAGTCTCGCTGTTTAAATAAAAATGGAAAGCCCCACACTGAGCCACAAGGGACCTCTTGATGGCAGTGAGACATTGGCCCCTCGGGCCTGCTCCTTCCCAAGTGTTCTAGAAACTCAAGGATTTGGGCAGCCAAACTGTCAGATGTTTTCATTGTGTTCATTGCAGTCTCCCTGACATCATTACGTTGACTTCGCACATTCTTTCTTGATGGCTTGGCATTGACATTAGAACTCTGGATTCTGATTCTGTGTCAGGATGTGCTGGTGCCTTGACTGCTCTTTGCACACCACCAGCCTGTGAGTCCGTGTCCTGCATCTTTGTGGGGTATTTACGTCTCCTCAGTCACTGGCTGTAATCTCAGCGGGCTTCGTGCTCTGCATTCAAAAGTCAGATAAACATGTAAAGTGGGGAGCGGGAACCTGTGGTCTTGGTCTGGACTGGAGGTTTGAAACAGAGTGTGGAGCACACAAGCCTGCCAGTGACCGAGTGCCCTGAGGAATGTCGTGCTGATCTTCGTGCGCCCGGTGCCCAGCAGGTGCTCAGCAAGTGTTTGGAAAGCTGGGGTGGCAGGATATTGTTTTTGGATCACACAGGCGAGCCCCTCCCCTCTCAGGGAGCAACTGGCAACTGTACCAGATGGTGACTGAGGAAAATGGCATTTATTGTAATTTTCCATCATCAGCTAGGGTCCGGTGTGGGGGGAGGAATTAAGAGGAATATTTTTGTTACTTTTTCTATTCTTCCTTAATCAAGAGTTGACTGTAGGTCCCTGACCAGGGTGGTTCAGTTGGTTGGGCATCGGCCTGCGAAGTGAGAGGTAGATAGTTTGGTTCCCAGTCAAGGCAGGTGCCTAGGCTGTGGATTCCGTCTTTGGTTGGGGATGTTCGAGAGGCAACCAGTTGATGTTCCTCTCCGATGTTGATATTTCTCTCCTTTTCTTTCTCCCTCCCTACCCCTTTCTCTAAAAATAAATAAATAAATTTTTTTTAAAAAGAAGAGGTGACTGTGGGAAGTGTACCTCCCTGTTCTGGTTGCTCCTTATTTTCTCAGGAAGATAGTTGTTTCAGAGTGCGAGCAGCAGGCAGTAAGGCATTAAAACAGGAGGTCACGACAGGGGGCAGGGGGCGGTTGTGTTTTGCTGGCAGAAGACAGCTGTTTTTGGTTCAGAGTCTGGATCCAGGCTTGAGGGCCCGGAAAGCTCTTTCCAGGCACTGAAGTGGGGCTCCACTCACTGCACATCTCTTGAGGCATCTTTCTTGCACCTGTACGAGAGCTTGGACTGCCGGAGCAGCTCGGCGCTGGAGTGTTTAGCTAGCATATTGTCTCCCGGGCAGGCAAGCTCTGTGGGAAGCCACATGGTAATGAGAATGCCAGTTTATTAATTTGTAATGAGAACCAGAACCACCCAGGGGAACAGACACTCAGCCACCCTTGCCTGCACCTGTAGTCCACGTAGGCAGTTCTCTCGGCCAAGTTCCCAGAAGATTGCTTAATGAGAGGCCGAACAAGGGGAGCTGGTTTGTGATGTGGATGTTCAGTGGCATCTGGTCAGGCCAGCCCTGCGCCTCTCCAGAAGGTCTGTGTCTGTTGGGACCAGTAAGGAGATGGGGAGGCAAGGCCCCTCCCTCCTGGACCCTGCCAGCTCCCATTTTGGTTCTTCCTGAAGCGGCTCGCCTCTCCACCTCACCCAGTCCCATGTGTGAGAGAGGGAGGAAGTATACAGAACATGAAACTTGCCTTTTCAACCATTTATAATTTTACAGTTCAGTGGCATTGAGTGCATTTACACTGCTGTGCACCCCCTGAACTTTTTAACTCAGTAGATGGGATAAGATAGTTAACAGGTTGACTTTGGAAATCATATTGTCTTTGTACATTCACTTCACACGTCTTAGCCCCAATTCCCAGTGAGTCGATCTTCAAGTTTAACTAACCCACAAGGAAAATCTTGGTTCCTTATTTCCAAGTTCTGTCAGTCTTGTGGTCCAGCGCGTGTGTTGAAAGGCCCACATAATGTAGAAATGGGAGTAGCTGTGAGAGGCCCGCAGGGCACAACCGCTCGGGGACACAGCTTGTTTAGTGTCACTGGCCATCTTGGAGGAAGGTGGACTTTCTCACTGTGCGGTTTATTTGTGCCTTTGTAGAGAACACCACTGATGGTCTGACTACCAGTAGGAATGGAACAGATTCCTCTATCCCAAGTGGTATGTTCTTAAAGGACCCAGGTTGAATCAGGCCGTCCAGATGGGTAACTGAAAGGATGTTTGTAATCTGGGACTTGTATGAGGACTTCCACCTTTTGGCTCCTTGCCAGCATCTTTAACAAAGGAGGACAGAGGGATTCTGCAGTGCCTCTGAGCGGACCTCAGCTTCCTCCTGCGGGTCAGGGGAGTGTGGCTGCCTCCCACGTGGCTCAGGCCCCTGCCTCCTCTCTGGGCTGGCCTCTGTTATCTTACGCTGCTGCCGCCGCCGTCCCATCCCCCCCCCCCCCCCGCCCCGCCTGTTCTGTTTCCTCTGCTCCCAGTGATCCTTCCACCCCCACCCCACCCACCCACCCCCGTGCTGAGGCCTGTCCTCTGCCACCCTGCCTCCATTCCGATAGCAGCCCTTGATCTCCAGCTTTGTGTTAGCTTGCTTTGTAGTGCTGACAGCAGCTGCCCTATTCATCCTTTATGATTAAGGATTCAGCTGCAGGAGCCTGGGGTGAGTGGTGCAGATGCACTAGCAAGTCCAGCCCAGCTTTCCTGAAGGCCAGTTCCCAGGCAGTGGGCCCTGCTGGGCAAGACCTGCTGTGGAGGGAGGGACTCTGCCTCCACCCCATTGGAGGACGGTCCCCAGTAGGCTAGTGGTCACACACCACTTGCTGTTTGGCTCTGACTGTGACAACTGTTTATTCTGTGACAGCACAGTGCTGAAAGTTAGGGGAGGGTCTCTCTAGGTTTGCTAGGCCAGGAATCCTGTGGCCATCCTGGCCATTGCTTTGCCTGTACTCACTGGTAATTCCTAAGCTGTCCTCTCCAAAGTCATCCAGCACCCTGGGGCACTGGCATAATAGCTCTGATTTCAGTCCTGTTTCAGAAGAAAATTTCCCCGGAAGAGTAAGGGAGGGGACTCCTTGCCATGGAGAGAGTGAACAGGACTGGTTTCCTATCACCCCAGAAATTGTGGCTGGGATTAATTTCCATATCAACCCCTGGAGTGGAGGTGGGCCTCCCCACCCAGTGTTCATCCGGTGTGTGCTGTAGAGCCCGTTAGAACTGGTGGTGATGGAGCAAAGGGAGATGCACACCCTTCCTCTAGGTGCCCGTGTCCGCAGTCCCTCAGTGGCCCTTTTAGACCCAGCCCCAGCCAGTCCACATGTCCTGTGACTGCCCCGGCCTCCCTGACGTGGCTGTTTGTGTTTTAGTTCCCAGAAGGCGGGATTTTGATGACCCTTCCAGCGATATTTTCGACTACGAAGGTATAACTTTTTTAAAATTTATTTTTCATTTTAGATAGTAGAAAGTATAACTTTTAAAAAATATGTGGGCAAAACATATTTCCTTTACTTAGTTGGAATTGTGACACACTTCAGATTTCCACCAAGGAAACTGTAGCTCGGGGCTTCCCGGCCTTTCCGAGGTGGTGGGACGAACGCGTGGGAAGCCCCAGGGCAGCAGGCCGTGCCCACCAGGTACACACCTGGTGGCTGTGGGCAGGTGACTGCAGCTGTGCCTCTGAGTCCCTGAGTGTACACACTGCGGGGCCCCGGACAGACCTCCTAGAGACCGAGGAATGCATGGCAAGTGCCCACGACAGTGCCTGGTAGGGGAACCGCTGTTAGGACGTAGTCTGGCTGCACAGGGAAGGTGCTGCAGATGTGGGGGAGGGTGTGGAGCGGGTCGGGCTGAGCACAGCTGCAGCCGACCCATTTCTGAGGCAGAGACAGCTCTGCCTTGGCTGGCAGCCGTGTGCCCGGAGCATTCTGGCTCCACTGTCCTCTGCGCCCTGCTCACTCGTGCTTCTCTGGCTCTCTGCTCCCAGAACACTGCACTGCCAAGGCGGTCACGGGGCCTTGCCGCGCATCCTTCCTGCGTTGGTACTTTGACGCCGAGAAGAACTCCTGCGATGACTTTATCTATGGAGGGTGCCAGGGCAATAAGAACAACTACCTCTCCAAGGAGGCGTGCATGAGCCGCTGCTTTGGTGAGTCTGCCTGATCCCTGGATCCAAGAAGCAGTGGTGGGTGCGTGGCCCTCCCCAAGTCCATCCCCCGTCCCTAAGAAAGGCTGTGGAAAGGCTGTCATTTGGCCTCCATCTTTCTCTGGCTCCCTAGTGGGGAACAGGCAGGCTTTGGCCCCTAGACATGTCCCAGGTCCCCACCAAGGTGACATGGCCTTGAAGAACCAGAAGAAGCAGTACCTCAGAAAGAGCCCACTGTGGAGACCGGGGGCTGAGGGGGATCTTCAGGGTGCAGCAGTTTTTGGGGAATAGGACCGTGAGCTGACCTTGGGGTTATGTGTTCTCTTCCAGGCAAGCAGTTGTACCCCGTCCTTCCCCGAAGCACTAAAGGTAAGTGGCCTAGGGCCACCCCCCCACCTGCCTGCCTGACTAAACTCAGCTGTATTTTTGCAGGCTCATGTTGTCTTAGACACATCATCCTTCACTGTGAACATCTTTTGGTACAAGGTCGTGTTTCTGCACGAGAGTGTCCAGGCAGCTTGGGACATGTGGTAGATGTCTGTCCCACCGCTGAGTATATGGCGGGGGCTGGAGTGAGGCAGCTGGGGCAACTGGAGGGCACAAGTCCTGCTGTTGGGCACGTGGAATCTGCTGCACACAGGCCTGACTCCGACTCCAGGTTTAGAGGGAACTCTGGTTCGTGGGGTGGACAGAGCTGGTTGTGGGTACAAGAAGGAAGCTGGAGGCCGTGCTGTGTGGGAGGCACAGCCGGTGTCGTTGTTCCCAGGCAGTGTGGTCTGACCAGGAGGCCGGGCTGCCGGCTTTTGTTTCTGATTCTGAGCCTGAGTCAGGGAGGACAGTGTTTGCAAAAGGACCTGCCACGCTGGTTTGGTCTCTTTCCACCTGTTTTCCCTAGTAAGGAGCCCTGACCTGGCCTGCTGCCTGCTCTATTGTAGAGGAGGGGTGACGCTGGAACAGGTTTGCCAGGCCCGGGCAGAAAGAAGGCCACAGGAGTGTTGTGGGGGAGGGTAGAGGTGGAGAAAGACGCGCCCCTATCCGATTCTGTAGCCAGGCAGGGAGAGGCGACTGGGTGGCTGCCGTAGGAGCCACGTTCCGTAGGTGGAGTCCCACCTGAAAAGAAAGCATCTTCACTGACCAGTGGGGTGACTACTGTTGAATTTACCAAGGCCATTAGGAACACGAGGGTCCCCCTCACAGCACTGCCCCAAACAGACCCTTGCCTCTGCCCTTACCTCATTCCACAGTCAGCCAACCAGCCACCTGCAGGTCCACCTTTGTCTGGGGGCTGCTGGCGGGGGGTGTGGAGTGGACACAATACGTGGGGTTTTAAATGTCACACATGCCAGAGATGTGTTTTTTACTTGGGCTTGGGACTCCTGTACAGCCTGCCCCTAAGAGGTGGAGGGAAATAGTTAAGTGGGGCTGTTCGTTCAGAAAGAAGGAACCAAGACCGTCGCTGTTTGTGTGCACAGAGCACGGCACCTCGGTTTTTGTTTTGTTTTCCCAGGAACCAGCGTGTCAGGCCTGTTCTTCCTGGATGGGTGGGTGGTGTCAGTTCTCCAGACCTTCCAGGTTGGGTGGGGGGTGTGGGGCACAAGGGCTGCTGGGTCCTCGCCCTGAGCCCCAAGGGCACCTGCGACCTTCCTAAGCCCTGAGCTGTGGTTCAGCCACTCTGGCTGTGGCTGTCCTCATCCCACCAGTTCTGAGGCCTCTCTCCCATCCCCAGTGGTGGTCCTGACAGGGCTGTTCGTGATGGTCCTGATCGTCCTGCTGGGAGCCTCTGTAGTCTGCCTGATCCGGACGGCGCGGAGGAACGAGGAGCGCGCCCTCCAGGCTCTCTGGAGTTCCGAGGATGATAAGGAGCACCTGGTGAAGAACACGATTGTGCTGTGAACACCTCGTCCCCGGGAGGTCACCCTTCTTCAGGATTCAGGATGCACTGTCCATGAAGAGAACCTGGGGAGGGAGGGGGAGAGAACTATAGAATGTGTGTGTGCTTTTCGAAATAGAGTGATTGATTTGTATTTTTGTGATTACTAGGGCTTTTTGTCTGGTACTTCAGAAGCTAAGAGGGCTGCTTCCTGGTTCCTCTGGGGCAGGTTCACTTCGGAAACCCTCTAATGGTTCCCATGTGGACCAGCCCGGCCCCAGGCCAGAAGTCAGTTCCTCTTTGATTCTTTACTCCAGTTTAGTTTTGTGTTCTATCTAAACTCCAGATATTTTTTTTGTTCATGTTGAAGCCTTTTTGCCTCCTTTTCCATCACAAAAATAATGTTTTAATAGTTTCCTTGGTTGATTTATGGGTTTTTTCATTTTTAAATAAGCAGAAACAAATTTTTTTTTTAAATTAGGATTCTGAAGAGAGTAAAATGTACAGATTTAATAAAAAGGATCTTCCCTTTTAAAATAAATTTCAGCATGCGCTTTCTTTATATGACTACTTGCTTGCTTATTTATTTTAAAGATTCCGTCTATTTCTGGAGAGAGGAGGGTGAGAAACATCAATGTGTGAAGGAAACATCGATCTGCTGCCTCTTGTGTGTGACCAACAGTGAGACCTGGCACCTGGCCTGCAACCCAGGCATGTGCCTGACCAGGAATCCAGCTGGTGACCTTTTGGTTCGCGGGATGATTCCCAACCACAGAGCCACACCGGTCAGGGCACGACTGCTAATTTAAATTCTACCAGAATTATCACAGGACACTACGTGAAATGTCCCATTCTAGAAATGAAAAAACAAAAACCGCCCTGGCTGGTATAGCTCAGTGGGTTGAGTGTGGGCCTGTGAATCAAAGGGTCTCTGGTTCAATTCCCAGTCAGGGCACATGCCTGGGTTGCCAGACAGGCCAGGTCCCCAGTGTGGGGAGTGCAAGAGGCAACCACACACTGATGTTTCTCTCCCTCCTTCCCTTCCTCTCTGTCTAAAAATAAATAAATAAAAAAAATTTTAAACCACATCTTTCATATCTTTCGGTGGGGTGGGGAATGGCTGTTAAATTTTTTAAAGATTTTACTTATTTTTAGACAGAGGGGAAGGGAGAATGAAAAACATCAATGTGTGGTTCCCTCTCATGCGCCTCCCACTGGGGTCCTGGCCTGCAACCCAGGCATGTGCCCTGACTGGAAATCGAACTGGTGACCCTTTGTTTCACAAGCTGGTGCTCAGTCCACTGAGCCACACCAGCCAAGGTGAGATCTTTTCAAATAAAATACACCTTACATTACAAACTGAGTATCCACAAAGCTTTACCAAACTACACTCAGCCTTACCACTTGTGGTGAATTCTGGTATTTTCCAGTTTCCTTTTTAAAAATGCTGGTCATACCCTGCTGATTTGATTTTTTCTTAATTTTCAAATGACTCACTATGGACTGTAACCCACACCTTAGACACTTCTTTGGAGGCACAGGAGAGTCGGAATAAGGGTGCATCCTGTTCAGGGAAAGACCGAGATCTTCCTAATGTTGGAGTGGTTCTGACTAAAATCACCTGGGCCTCATGATGTTCGTCTTTTCCTGCAGTTCTACCACCTCCTCAGGTAGAACTCACTCGCACGTGTGCCCCTGCATGGAAGTGGGGAGTTTCAGTGGGTGCTGCATTCGGCCTCCCGGGCTCGTCCCAGCTCCCCTGCCTCCCGGGGGAGGGGGGTTCTCTTCATGTGGACTCTGGAAGCTCCTCTCCTCCCCTTCACCTTCCAAACATGTTCTGAACACAGCAGCACCCAGGCAACCCACAGTGGTAGGTAAGATTTCCCAGGGCTGAAAGAGCAAAGAAAAAAACTGATTAACACTCCATCACTGCACCAAGAATTTTCTTTCCCCCCCTTTTTTAACTTTTTTGGAGGTTCCTAAGACTTCTCATTTCTTTGAATTCTTGCTTCCTGACTCTTTTCTGTTTGGCCATTATTTGCTTTCTTCTGGTCAACTCCATTGATTTGAGTCCCAGTTTCCTTTTCATTGCTATTGGTGTCCTGTGCAATTCCATTCATTTCAATTAGTTTCGCCTTCATATATTTGTCTAATTTGTCGGTATAATCAACCAGTTCTGTGAGGATCCTGATGACCAGTGTTTTAAACTGTGCATCTGAGAGTTTTGCTATTTCTTCATTGCTTAGATCTATGGGCTCTGGGGCTTTGAGATCTTCTTGCGACATTTTTGGTCTGTTCTGGCCCTTTAAGTGTGAGAAGCGGTGCCTTGGACTCCCAGGTCCCTGGGTTGTGACGCTGTATGTGGGGGCGTGGTCAGAGCAGGGAAATGGCGACCCCCTCTGCTGTTTCTCACAGCTGGGTGAGGATTAGTGTCTTAGGTGGTTCACCTGGGCCGGGCCACTCAGAGTCGCTGGCTCGTTTCTTTTTTTTTTTTTAATTGCTTTTAGCCCTGGCTGGTGTAGCTCAGTGGATTGAGCGCGGGCCTGCAAACCACATGATCGGGGTTCGATTCCCAGTCAGGGCACGTGCCTGGGTTGCAGGCCGGTTCCCAGGAGGGGACTCACGAAAGGCAACCATACATTGATGTTTCTCTCCCTCTCTCCTTCCCTCCTTCCCCTCTAAAGATAAATAAACAAAATCTTTTAAAAAAAATTGCTTTTAAGAGAGAAAGGAAGGGTGAGGGAGAGAAACACCTATTTGTTGTTCCACTAATTTGTGAATTCATTGGTTGATTCTTGGATGCGTCCTGACTGGAGATCAAACCCACAACCTTGGTGTGTCATCAGGATGATGCCCCAACCAATTAAGCTACCTGGCTAGGCTGCATCAAGGGTTTTCAAAAAGAACTTGAGGCTTGTCTTGGGCAGCAAGAGGTCATGGAGAATCTCGAGGACACAGATACCCTCCCTGTTGCATGAGTGGCAGGCACTAAAAAATTACACAGAATGGGGCAAGATGGATAGGGGTCCTGGGGGCCAACTGTCTCCGGTAAAGGAAAACGTCTTACCACGCTCGCCTTGTGCAGGCAACGTCCATTACCTCATCCGCTCCCGTTATTCGCAGAGTCTGCCATGTTGCCTGCAGGCCTTCCGGGCACCATAGCTGACGCCGAGCGGGTAAGCAGGGAAGCCTGCAGTACCCTACACACATCGGGCCCCAGGCGGGACCGCCTGTGGTCCAGGGGCAGGGTCCGGGCACTGAGAGGGACTGCACACCACTCCAGGTGTGCAACAGCAGGCAGGTCACTTAACTCACTCGAACCTCGAGTTTCCTCACCTGCACAGTGGGTGGAGGTGAGGGGGTACGTGGGATCACGCAGCAGGTCAACCGTGGGGCGTGCTCAGCAAGGCAGCTGCCCTCAGGGGACCGATTCCTGCCCACACACCTGCTTCCCCGTCCCCCTTAGTGGGCATCTGTCTCCCACACCCACCCCGCCACCACGAGGAGCCCTTAAATCCACTCATGTCTTCCCTCGTCTTCAAGAACCTCACACTCACTGATGCCTCTGGCCTGGTGGAAGGCCTTTCCTTGACCCACAACGAGTGTCGCCCCCTTCATCTCAGTCATGTGGAGGGAGAAGCTGTGTGTCCCGTTTGTCTCTCGGTGAGGGAGGCCCAGGGCCCACGTGCTGCGGCAGACTGCCTGCCTGCGGAGGTCTCACCCTGCCCGCTTCCAGGTGTGGCCCTGCCCTGCCACTGGGCCCTGCAACAGCTGTGCCACGACTTCCACTCTGGACCATTTACGGGGTGACAGTGGTGCACTTTGTCTTGTCAAGGCTGCTCAACAATGGGCCTGCAGCCAAGTTATTCAGTAGACATTTAACTGTCAGGCATCATGAAGTGGAATGGCCCGGCTGGTGTGGCTCAGTGGGTTAAGTGCTGGCCTGCAAACCAAAGGGTTGCCAGTTTGACTCCCAGTCAGGGCACATGCCTGCGTTGTGGGCCAGGTCCCCAATAGGGGGAGCAACAGGAAACCACACATTGGTTTCTTTCCTTCCCTTCCCCTCTCTCTAAGAATAAATAAATCTTTAAAAAAAAAAAAGTGGAATCGATTTTTAAAAATTAACTCAAAGATCTCCCCTTACTTCCTCCTGGTCCATATACTTTGGGAAGGCAGTCGGGTCACTGAACGTGGCTGTTCCCAGGAAGGTCAGAGGCACTGGGGATGTGCCCTCCACACTCCAGGGTACGGTGCACCTTTCTCCCTAACATCGGTCCCGGCGCACCTGATCCTGGCACCCTCCAGGGGGCCAGCCGACCAGCAGGGGGCCTTGGATTGAGGTTAATTCTGGTTCAGCCCTTTGGATTGTTTCCTGGACTGACTGGTCCTGGGTCATGAAGATACTGACCACTTGGTCACTGAGTGCCCTGCTGCCACGTCTTCCTGTGGTGGCCCACGTTGTCCCTATACATTTGGAAACATGCTTGTTCCGCTCATCCCTCACTCAAAAGGTCTGGGTGTGAGCAGGCTTTGATCAAAGTAGAACCATACCCCCTGGGACGGGATACACACGGACTTCCAGCCCTTGGAGGGAGTTAACATCCTGGGTCCTGGGGAGGGAGGCCTTAGACCCCAGGAGGTGGGGGGGAGGGAAGGGGGCGCAGTCAGTGGTCTCTGTCCTCTAGATCCAACACCCACATCCCAGCTAGTCACTGGTCCACCTGAGCCCTGCGGCACCTGCAGCTGCCAACGTGACCGGTGGGCATGGCTGGCCCTGACCAGTCCTGTGGTGCCCGATGCCATCAGTCGCAGCTTCTGAATGTGGGCCCCACCCCTAGACATTTATGAACAGGACCTGCAGAGCCTTGTGCTAACCTGGCTGATAACAGAACCACACACCGCCACCCAGGCGCCCGGGGCTATGCCATGTATGGCAATGGAAGCTGCAAACTACTCCGTGGCACCACCCATGCAGCTTAACCAAACCAGGGCAGTGTTGCTCTAAGTCAAGTTCGACAACAACTCCCGAACCGGAGCGCCCTGCACCCAGCAGTCCACGTTTCTGTGTGGGAAAGAATGAGTCACAGTATCTCCAGGGGGCAGGGGGCTGCTTCCAGACCTTGTGATTATTGGCAGTGACACCACCCTGACCTCGCTGTGTGGGTCCTAGTGGATGACGGCCTTAGGCTACATTCCGGCTGAGACAAGCCCTGCTCACTCACACCTGGGTGCCAGGTTGGGCTCGTAAGGACCGGACTGACCCACTGCTGTCTGGAGTCCCGGTCATTGTAGAGTGGCACACTCATGTGACAATTCATCCGGAACCAGGAGGGGTGGGTTGTTGGTAGAAGCAGTATCCCACGCTGCTACAGGTCTTGCTGGGTGTGCCAAGAAGGGATGCCCCCGACAGCTGTTTCCCTGGGCCAGTTCTCAGGGCTGGGTTTGCAGTGAGGGCCTTGAAGGACGAGGAAATGGCTCCCTTTGGACGAGGAGCACCTTGCATCCCCAAGCTCAGTGTCCCATCCCTGTGATGCAACCCACCCATGGGCAGGGACCGTCTGGACCAC